AGGCTTATCGCCCGTTGGGGCCGACCGCGGTTATTATTTAGTTTCCACATGCAGTCGGGTTCTTTCGTCTTTTTCTTTTTACAGACGGCGGTATCTGCACCCTCTTCCGTCCAACATACTGACCAAAGATGTAATCAGCACGAATGACTCATGTGGAATGAGTCATTTATAGACAACGTAGCCGTTAGTGACTTGTCCAGGGTCATTCCATGGGTGATGCTACTGAGGTTTGAACACAGTACCTTGTGGGTACGTGCCGAACAACATAACCACTCAACCATGGCGGCTCATGAAGTTTACAGAACCGTTAAATGTTCCTTCGTACATTATTTTATAAATATGTCTTATCGACATAGTTAAACGCTTCCAGGTGAATGGACGAATATAATACACTTCTCTATCTACACAGTCACCTCCAAGATTTTTTTAAATTATTTTTAATTATTTTTCAAACTATAATTTTTACAAGAATATCTTTTATGTCTCTGTAGTAATGATAACATTACTGAACTTAAAAAAAAATCCTTCATAAATATCTAATAACTTATTAAAATACATACGACTTTTATTATGAGACATCAATATTTGTATAAAATGTTCGTAAGTATACATTTATTAATAGGCAAATAGATAACAGTAGTTATTCTATCGTTTCTAATGATATAATGGATCACCTTTACGGTTAGATATATCAGAAATGTATAAATTGCATTTGACATTAAAAATATCTGGTAAATGGCCTCATCGGATTGATTCACCTAGAGTGCACGGACAGAGCAGAAATTGTATAGTGAGTTAAACCAATAAATATCAAATGCATTTTAAAAAAAATTCTAAAAGGCCGAATATAAACTTGATACTAGTCGATAGAGAAAATTTTTCTCTATCGAACTGCATTTTCGGTTTTTTCTGAAAAAGTGTTTATTTCGAGAAATTATCGAAATACTACGACCAATCAAAACACAGATTATTATTAAAAGCGTCGCCACCGAGACGACTATAGTCGCTGAGTCCAAAAGTTTCTTTGAATTTCTGAATTTTTTTCGTCAAATTGAACTCTTCCCTAATTTGTCGATGTGCTGAGTGGATTAGAAAAATTCAACAGAACTGGAATTTCTCTCCTTACGAAGTTATAGCAAATACATAAATCATATTGCATAGTGCATTGTGTCACCATAGATACCGCAGTTTGTAAGGCAGATATCTCGAAAACTCGTCTTGGGCCGAAAAAACAAACCAGATCAAGTATTAGAGAACTAAGTTGAGAATCTACTGTTTTAATCTCATCCCCGGGAAAATGTTAAAACTGTAACGCCACCTAGTGCATTAGTGTGTTGGTCATTTGACATTGATTTGATGATTCATCTCAATTTGACCGTATACTACTATATATATATATATTTTTTTTTTTGTAAGAGTTCTTTTGTTACAATGATTGATCATCAATGATTGGTTGTCATTTAGACAATGTTCGTCAAACATTATATCATTATATGTCTGTTTTATTGTCATATAGACGCAGTGTATCGGCAATGAATTGTTTATCAAGTATGAGTATGTATAATGCTTTGATAATATAATTGATTTTACTATTTTTCTATACAGAAGATATCGTTGAACTGGTCGATTTACCTGATGAATTAATTTTAATTATTATGAACAAAGTCAAACCTAAAGTGCTATTGCTTTGTTCTATTATCACTATTGGTAATAATCGTTTAGAAAAACTTGTACTTGATAAATGTGATTCAATTGATTTAACTTTTGATTATTTTCAATCACCATATAAATGCCTTATTCAACGTTTTTATT